AGTTACTGTCCTCTGCACGATGTTGGACATTAGAACGGCTGAATCGTCAGATCCAAAAAAATAAAAGATTTTGGCATTTTTAAAAATGTATTTAATTTCTTATATAAAAGAAAAGTAACAAGATATAAATTATGAGCCATTTAGACAACATGACACGCAAGAGTATGAATTGTGCAGTAAATGGGAAAACCATGAATATAGGGCTTTAGTCTAATGCCTTGGACATTTTAGCGTTAGAAACACAAGCAGCATATAAGGGTGAAGCAATGAAATGGTCATATACATCCCTACTTCAATCAAAAAGGACTATCCCTGAGAAAGGCTAGAGGTTACGAGATCTGTTAAAAGGAACCTTCGAAATGTCACCACTACAAACCAACATCACAAAGATCTATAACAGGACACATGAAAACAAAACCATTTTCCTTCAATATATTATTGGTGTTGCTTGCACAAAACAATACAATGGGATTCTGTCACCTTACATCGCTACAAACCCACACTAACTTAACCATCAACATCACTAATCTCTCAGCCGAGAACCAACGAAGAAACGAAGGGTTGAACACCAATACATATTACAATAAAAATAATGCTCTGAAAACAGTGAATTCTTGTCATTTTTCCACAAACCCAAATTATTTACTTCTTTAATTCAAAGGTAGAGAAGAGATACTTCAGTTCAGGTATCAAGCAAGACACGTTAATAATACCATTCTTACTTTTCCCATTTTCCAAAAAAAAACACTAAAATGCTACACAGTTGTGCTGGAGGCTTAAAAAAGTACTATACGCAAAAAAATATAATGCAAAATGACTACACGTTAAAACGTGTTTGGCTTTATTCGAGGAACCAAAAGACATAGGATAAAAAAAACACTACTGAAAAATTGTATTTAAAAAGCCAGCAATTGTATAAGCTTTCCTTCAATGGGTTATTGCTACCGTGGGGAATTTAATGTCTAGTGAGACAGTGAAAATATCACAATTTTGCTCGATGAATTCCTTTACCATTAAATGTATTGTCACTCTCCCTGAGACTGACCCAGTTAACACATACACACACCATTCATTAAGTCTAAATAACACAATTCTGTATACATATGCATACAGAAGTATAAACACTTAATAATTGTACAATACACACAAAAGTAATCAACCCAGGCACAAATTGATGAACGCATACCATGTAAGTACGCGTAACTATGTACATAATGGGATTTGAAATTACAAACGAATGTGAACCATCACGTTATTTTAGAAAAAAACAGTGATTGTGATTATATACTACTGGTACGTATACAAAGGAGTCTCAGAAAAATAAGTGTCAAAGTACAGAGATGACATTAAAGGGAACATGCCAACAAATAGGGACTTGAACACTCCCATTCATTCATTCATTTTTCTACCCATCCAAATTAAAAAAGGTGCTCAAACGCAAATATAAATGCAACTCTACATCTGTATAGTCACCAAATGTATATCTAGACAAACAATACTATTGCACTAGGGAGCAAGGAGCAAATGTGTGCAAAAATGTTTTTAAAGGGAAAAAAATAACAAGTAGCGAATCATGAAGGTTACTCTACATATGCGGCATCAAATAGTTAATCGATATATATATAAATTGGAACGCTGTCTTCAACACGTAAACAATTCCACACTGCCACCAAGCCACCACTTCCTTTTCTCATGCTGGAATGTTTGCAGAGCACCACCAATTAGCCACCACCAGACACTTTTGCAGAAGCATGTGCAATGTCACTTTTTACATCGTTATTTTCATTATTGTATATTTTTAAAAGGCGTATATCCAATTGACCTACCAAAGTAGTGAAGCCACAATACCAAATGTAATGTGTACTCAAAAATGTATAGATGCACTTATAAACCTGGGCCGGATTGGGTTATATAGGGCATAAGAATGATCAGTTCTTACAATTGTGTGTACAATTATACACACAAATACAATTGTATTGTCCGTCAACTCATAGTCCCTTTTTTGGAAAGTTGAACGTGAATAATGCATGCAATAAAATGGTATTGTTATCTTACTCTTAAGTCACCAGTCATCAAAATTTGCTCACAAAGACCAAAATAATAAGCAGTTAGGTATGCAGATGGTGGGAGAAAACACATTGGCGTTTGTGAAAGTTTAGTACAGTATTTGGTACATTTACGCACAAAAATATACTCTTAAAAATTTGAATGCACAATACATCTTACAACGTTTTACCCCAAATATAAGGTGTCTTAAAAAAAATACACACTTTTCAAAAATGCGTAAATCTCATCAGCACGATTGTATCCAGACAAGGCTTTTTGACATGTCTCTGCTCTTCATAACCATTGGAACTTTTAGTGCGGATGCCACAAAGACGAGGATCAAGTGTAATACTATAATTTCCATGTTACAAATTAAATAAGAATCCATAAACCATTTTAACTCTTAGTGCGGGTGTCACAAAGAGACAATGATGAAGTGTAACACAGCAATTTCCAGGATACAAATCAGAATAAAGTGTTTTGTTTTCTTAATAATCTAATGCCCATGCTAATAAAACGTTTGTTTTAGTTACATACTAAAACAATTACATATAAGAAAATACATAACTTTACAGAAAATAGACGCGCTCTTTTGTTGATGTAATTTTTTTCAGTTATGAACTGACTGCATGTTTTTCAGTTTGAGTTTCATATACACACGTATATAATTATAATCAACGATCATAACCGTTCAAATTCGTGAGAATATTAATGGAAACATTTTCAAGATTTGTAAAATTGGTTTCACAATGTGCAATAAAATATCATGGGCCTAAAAGTACTGGCACCCGTCTATATACATGGATTAAAATGTACCACTTTGAAATATATTATCCTGTTTGTATTAATTTTAGTAACGCATGTTCTACAGTGAGGGAAAAAAGTATTTGATCCCCTGCTGATTTTGTACGTTTGCCCACTGACAAAGAAATGATCAGTCTATAATTTTAATGGTAGGTTTATTTGAACAGTGAGAGACAGAACAAAAAACCCCAAAAAAACGCATGTCAAAAATGTTATAAATTGATTTGCATTTTAATGAGGGAAATAAGTATTTGACCCCCTCTCAATCAGAAAGATTTCTGGCTCCCAGGTGTCTTTTGTACAGGTAACGAGCTGAGATTAGGAGCACACTCTTAAAGGGAGTGCTCCTAATCTCAGCTTGTTACCTGTATAAAAGACACCTGTCCACAGAAGCAATCAATCAGATTCCAAACTCTCCACCATGGCCAAGAGCAAACAGCTCTCCAAGAATGGCAGGGACAAGATTGTAGACCTACACAAGGCTGGAATGGGCTACAAGACCATTGCCAAGCAGCTTGGTGAGAAGGTAACAACAGTTGGTGGGATTATTCGCAAATGGAAGAAACACAAAATAACTGTCAATCTCCCTCGGCCTGGGGCTCCATGCAAGATCTCACCTCGTGGAGTTGCAATGATCATGGGAACGGTGAGGAATCAGCCCAGAACTACAGGGGAGGATCTTGTCAATAATCTCAAGGCAGCTGGGACCATAGTCACCAATAAAACAATTGGTAACACACTACGCCGTGAAGGGCTGAAATCCTGCAGCGCCCGCAAGGTCCCCCTGCTCAAGAAAGCACATATACATGCCCGTCTGAAGTTTGCCAATGAACATCTGAATGAATCAGAGGACAGCTGGGTAAAAGTGTTGTGGTCAGATGAGACCAAAATGGAGCTCTTTGGCATCAACTCAACTCGCCGTGTTTGGAGGAGGAATGCTTCCTATGACCCCCAAAAACACCATCCTCACCGTCAAACATGGAGGTGGAAACATTATGCTTTGGGGGCGTTTTTCTGCTAAGGGGACAGGACAACTTCACCGCATCAAAGGAACGATGGACGGGGCCATGTCCCGTTAAATATTGGGTGAGAACCTCCTTCCCTCAGCCAGGGCATTGAAAATGGGTCGTGGATGGGTATTCCAGCATGACAATGACCCAAAACACACAGCCAAGGCAACAAAGGAGTGGCTCAAGAAGAAGCACATTAAGGTCCTGGAGTGGCCTAGCCAGTCTCCAGACCTTAATCCCATAGAAAATCTGTGGAGGGAGCTGAAGGTTCGAGTTGCCAAACGTCAGCCTCGAAACCTTAATGACTTGGAGAAGATCTGCAAAGAGGAGTGGGACAAAATCCCTCCTGAGATGTGTGCAAACCTGGTGGCCAACTACAAGAAACGTCTGACCTCTGTGATTGCCAACAAGGGATTTGCCACCAAGTACTAAGTCATGTTTTGCAGAGGGGTCAAATACTTATTTCCCTCATTAAAATGTAAATCAATTCATAACATTTCTGACATGCGTTTTTCTGGATTTTTTTGTTGTTATTCTGTCTCTCACTGTTCAAATCAACCTACCATTAAAATTATAGACTGATCATTTCTTTGTCAGTGGGCAAACGTACAAAATCAGCAGGGGATCAAATACTTTTTTCCCTCACTGTACATACTTTGCAAGGAAAGAATATTGTAACTTCAGATTTAGAAAAACGTCATTTGAAAATTGAGAAACGTGCCACGGACATTTGAGTGTTAAGCGACTTGCTTGCCGTCACCAACGGTGAGGACACATTATGAACAAATGTCCATTTGCAGCGTTTGCCAGGAGCACAAGTGGTACACGTCCACTGAGGCCATCAGGTGGATGTCCAACTTAGACGTCAATTTATAGTTGGTACTCAATTCATATCCATACGAAAGAGAGTGTTACACTTCTCCATTAAAATGTACAGCCTCAAATAATTAGGACAAATGTAGGAACGGAATATCACAAATACAGGACTTTGTAAATAAAAAGGACATTCAACCACGGAAAGAAAAAAAACACAACAATTGATTGTCAACACTGTAGCCTTTCTTAAAGACTTCCACTCTTGCAAAGATACATTCATCTCTTCGCTTCATTTACCCTGAATCCAACAGTTATAGCGTCTTGTTTTTTTCCCCCCCCAAGAGAAATTTCTTGAAACCAATAAAATATACATTTCAAGTCTTTTAAAATCTAAAATTGTCATACCACTGATGCCTGGTGAGTGCTAAAATGAATATATACAGCCCAGTTTACACATTACTTTTTTATGACGTGACTGTGATCGGAGCCAAATCCTTTGGCTCTTCATGACAGGGACGGAGTTAAGTGCTTATTTTGTTAATGTTAAGGTTATAATGCTTTAAGCAATTAAAGGGAAACGACATTTGTTTTTATTTTCACTCTAAAATTATACAAAATATAGTGTTTGTAGTGCCTAAAACACATCAGGTGTAAAATACTATCGCTTTAAACTATCAGTAGTTTGTTAAAAGTTTGAGAAAACAATTTAGCATGCATACACTGCATGAGATTCAGGCCAATCTTCCAGAAGCCTCCACTGGTTGAAAGAAAACAAAATACACTCATGCAGCTTGGAATTAATGTGCAATTTATACTATACTTGTGTTTAGTGTGCTGCGATAAAATAGTCAAATCACAGAGTTTACGTTTTTCAAAATAACGTTTCGCATAAAACGCGTACGACTTGTCAAAAACATACCATATACCTGGGTATTCCCAGATAAAGTGAAACTAAAATGGCAGGAATTTGTGTTAGAATGTTGTTATTGGTTTCTGCTGGAAATTTATTGCTAAGTGCACACCACCAATCCGGGTGGAGAATGCTCATCAGTAGAGGCTTTACTGCTTGTAGAAAATATTTTCATGTTGATGCTTAGTTTGTTGTTGTTGTCGTTTTACATTTACCACACACTGCTGATCAGTTGTTGAGCATCACACTTTGTATAACGTCAGCAAGCCGAGGCTTTGTGTGAAGCGACGCTTATCACTAAAGTTCAAGTTTTCGTAGAAAGTGGGACACAGGTGAAATATAGTGAAGTCAAGCACTGTTTCTTGCTACAACACAGCATGTTGTCGCTGTGCATCTTGTTACTAAATATTTTCTTTTAGCAAACCGGCAGTAAGATTCCTCGTCATTGGCTCTGGTTCTCATCCGTTTAGAATGGAAAAAAATGGGACCAATGGGAAGCTGGCCTCACAAGATATTTCACAAAAAAATATTGATTAGCGATGATTATACGTTGGTTCATGTTGCACACCGGAATTAGCAAAAAAAAACGAGTGTTCATTTCAGTTTTGTGGAGATCCTGATGATGAAAATTAAGTTTTACCCCTTCTAAAAAGAATGGTGCACACCATGAAACCAGTGTAGATACTAATCTTGTTGTGCTTCGTTCAGATGGTTGAGTGAACTGAAACGCGCCAGCCTTTAAATAATCCATCATTAGATCTGAAACTCCTACTTCATTGGAGGAGTGCATCCACCCTAAATGCTTTAGAGCCATGGATTAACATAACATTGGTGGCATATCCATTAAATCTGCCATAAATGCAGTGGATTGTTGGCTCAAAATAATTTAAGATGGGGCAGCTCTAAATAGTTTCCTGAGCTCCCTCGAAACTCACCTGCAGCACTGAGGAACGGACCCTGTTGTGTCGAAATATTCCTGATGGTTTGGTTGCGAAAATGCGAGGTAACATCAGCTTGAGCCAGCTGCCGATAGTTTCTATCATGCTAAACTTCACAGCAGAAGTGCCTTTGCAATCCTACCTTCAAACATAATGCTCTGGTGTGCATCTATCATCCGTTGATTGCATTTGTGTTTGCGTTGTGACAGCCACTCAATTGTCCGCTAAGCACTGAAGACCACTTGAAAAAAGTTGACTTGCAGTGTGAAGATGGGACGGGGGGGGGGTGCGAGTGGCTTCCATCAATATTAACGCCTGGCTGACACCACTTGGACATAGCGAGAGGAATGGCTAGGATTGAAGGTGGGTACAAGGAGGGACGAGGGAGATCAAGAATGGGCTGTGAAATACACAAGCAGCCGGTGTTGGATCCCATGTGCTATTGCTTCAGGTAGCTTGTGAGCCTCGACTCAAAACTCATGTGCCGCATGCTGAACGGTGTTCATAAAACCCCCCCGGACAGCCCTCCTCAACCAATGTCACGTGCAGACAAGCAGCACTAGCAGCACTAGCAGCAGCGGCAGCAAATGACAGTGGCATCAGTTCCCGTTGGCTGCTGAGCCAGGCTGCAACTGCTGGATGTCAGAGCTGAAGAGCTCCTTGTAAAGAGGCGGGAAGTGGGAGTGCACTATCTCCTGATGACCCTCTCGGAACTCCTGAAACTTCTCCATGTGCAGCGCACACACCTGTCGCAGGACTCCCACCTTGGGCAGCAACTGTACACGCGACAACAAAACCAACATCAAATGTTGACCTGAATTTTGCATGGCATTATGTTCACGCGATTGTAAATCGAGCAGCGATGTGTACGTGCAAACATTTGCTTGACATAGGGCCATCGTAAAATGCTAATATTTCAACTGCTGTGATTTAAAATTGTGAATTTGGAATAATTTTACAAAGCGATTCAATTTGGTACACATTGAATCATAATTCAGGAGACTGTGTACTACTTCTGTGAATTAAAACTATTTTCTAAAGCAAATGTTGATTTCAGTGTTTCCCTGTTTAACATTGCTGCAACACTGTGGGGAAAAAACTTGCACGAGGCTCTGCAGCACACAACCTCATTCAAAACAGATGACTAAAAACGAATGCAAGCACTTTATTGATTTAAATAAACAATTCAAGCATTAAAATAATGGGCAACAAATTTGCTTTGTTAAACATTGGATGTTGCGCATTAAATGAGTAATGCGTAAAGTTACACCAACAAAAAAAGATGCACCCTTAAAATTCAGCATTAGAATGCTTCCTGTGTATCAACCGCGCAGTTTTAACTGCGTCGATTTTATTTTAATTGCTTAATCGTGAAATAAAAAAAAACGATACTGGATCACATTGCCCACAGGATTTGAACACATTCTCTACAAAGCAGTAACATAAATTGGAATGCAGACCAACCTTGTTGAGCATGTTGTCATTCATACGATGCTTGCAAACCACATGCCGGAAGGCAAGGTTAATTTTCTCTGCCAGCTTCTCCACCTTTATTGAATCCTGCAGCCATTGCCGGTCTGATGGACAGAATATAAAATGTCATGAACTGCTATCAGTGGCGTATAAGCACAGGCTTAAAAACGCTATAGTACTCTGCTGTCACTGGCATTGCAAGAGCCGAAAATATATATTTCAAGCAACGGCCCTTCTCAAAAGCACAAGGGCATTGCTCAAACCTTTGCACATCACGTATATTTTCAGCTACAAAACAGTGTTGATGATGGCTGTTTTAAGCATGTGGCATTGGACAGTACTTGCTTTCAATTACAGTATCTATTTATTACTCCCTCTGTCACCTTATGTACTTGCTAATGAAAAGGATTAACCCCTTCATCTTTAAGCCCAAGTGACAATTTATGTAAAGGTGTGTAACATAAGTATCATTGGGTGCTTTGCACCACAACACTACATTAGGCAGATTACATTTCAAGAAAGGTTGAACACTCGAAGATAAACCCCCATGGAATCAAACTTAATTTTACAGTCAATGTTCATGTGGTTATGCTGCAATATTTTTAAACATAACAGACTGGGGAAAAACTAAGACGAAACAACCTTTAAACCCAGGGAAATTAAAGATATATAAAAATGGACAAAATTGCAAATACCTAAACCCATTAGTCCTACGTGTCATGGCCATCTCTGTGGTACATGTAGCAAACCAAAATATGAAGACAAAACCTACAGCATTAATGTATAATTTTACACAAAGGAACACTTAAACTTGAAAAAAAAATTATCCTAAACTAAATAAGCACATTTTACTGAAGGCATGCTGCAAAGGTTACCAAAAATCCTTGCCTTCTTTTGTGAGCACCTAGTTAACATTCAATAACGCACTGAAATGTAAAAGGTGTTCAAACACAAAGCGACAAAGATCACCGTCCGCAGAGCCACAAAAGAAGACAGTGGAGGTGAAAATGACTCCTCACCGGATGAGACGAGCACAGAGGCCGAGAAGAGAGCAATGTCCTCCTCCTTGAGTTGCATCGCGCAGAGGCTCTTGGCCAAGTCGAACATGGCAGTAATCAGGTCATCGCAGCCTGCATGTAACAACGCAGCCACGTGCGCGTATCACTTTGAAATCTCACGGTGGAAGATCAATGCAAGTCAAAAATAAACCTCCTCTGCGATAGCAACATAAGCCCTTGCCTTGCGAACCTCTGCATGTGCCTTGATCCTTTGTGAGGTGCCTGTGGCACTTTTTTTAATTTAGGGCATTATGCAGTGACTAATAATTTAATACACATTATTTAAAGGGCTGGTTAGTATATGACACTATTAACCAAGTGCACTTCTCAGCCACGTATGCTATCTGTAGCAAGTAATATGTAAAACCGGTCCGGGCTACCCACCCTTTCCCAATCCACACTGACCAGCAAAGTGAAGTATGGTCAAAACAACCTTCACAACAGACACAGCGTGAGGGAGGCCTTTACTCAGCAGTGGCTTGACAAACGGCTGTACGTTATGATAATTATTTAGGGTGGCAGGGTGGCACAGTTGTGACATTTGTGCCTCACAACGAAGACGGCCTGTGTTCTATTCCCGACCCGGGTGCTTTTCAGTATACTGTTCGTATGTTCTCCTCCTGTTTCTGCATGGGTTTTCTCTGGTTTCTCCGGTTCCCTCCCATTGCTTGAAAAAATCCCGTACAATGCTATGTTGAAAAGACATTAAAATGCCCAAATATACTTGCAAATGACTCAATTGTGATCACGTTTAGCAACATCACCCGCTAATGCCAAAAGTTAGCCGGACCCTCGTGCTAAAGTCTTGAGACTCGGCGAGGCTTTACTTGGTAATCAAGTGTAGGAACAACAATGCACGTTTATATACACTTCATAAAAAACACAACACATTCGATAACAAAACTGCCTTAAAAATAAATTGTACGTGAGAGCTAACTTTTCAGGGAGTGACAGCACATCAGTGGCCCTAATTCACAGCACTGTGAAGAAGGGCCACTGCCTGAATTGTCACCGATTGCATACTTTTCTTATTCACCTATTTCTATGTTAGGCAGTGTTATTCACAAATGTGTTGAGTTTTTTTGTTTGTTAATTGTTATAATTTATTATACAAAAAACATCAGGTGCATTTTATATATATACTACTCTGCACAAAGACCACTTTGACCTGAACACATATTACAGGGACATCCATAGGAGTAAATTGCACTTACCTAACGATTTGAAAAGCTGAATGCCACCATATTTTCCATCAAAGAGCACTGTGTTATTGTGTGGATTAAACACTCGGCACATCCTTATCAACACCACCTCCAAGCACCCTGCAATACACAACACAATAAAATAAATTTCATCACGGACAGTGCAATAACAAGGCATGTGATTTCATTCGGGGAAAAAAAAAAGCATGGGCAATTTTTATTTAATAATGCACAGCAAAAATGTTTTAATTTCCACAAAGAAAACATTTGGGAGGTTTTTTTATCCATACAGTTACTGCATTCATGTAAAATATAAATGGCAAACTATTATGAATTAAATATCAATATAGCAATAAAGTGCTTTCCTATTTTGGGATCGACTTCTCAAAGCTGTGCACAAATATCACATATAGCAAGAGCATTGCTTGTGGCGTATGAAGATCCTTTTTGTAGGAATTCACTATTTACCGACACTGTCTAAACAAACCCTTGTTTGCACTGCAATGTCTGATAGATATATATAGCTTTGTACCAGCTTTGAGCAGGATAATCTGGTCATTCTGGCAGAGGTCCATGAAGCCATCAATGCGCTTTGCAAACTCCACCACATACTGGATGGCGTTGGTGACCTGAATGGCACACTGCTGCCACATCACCTCCAGAGGCTGTACGTACAAACAGAATGACAATGTCAATACATTTCAAACATTTTTTATGCAAACATTACACATTTAAAATTATTAAATGTCCAACCACATAATAACAAGTATAAGGCAAACATAACTGTCATACCCATATTGCCAACCAAATTACATGCATTTGCCTTAAACAAGCATTCTGGCATTAATTTCATAGATGGGGAAAAACATTGCAGCATACAGACATAACTTCCACAACAGATAAACCATGTCCAATTCGGTTTACATTCAGAATTTTACAAACAATAGTGTAGCATAAACATTCAGTCAAAATTCCAATAAGCCTCATTGTCCTCCAGACTAATTGCAACTTCTACAAAACACATTTCTCACCTGACTCTGGCAAACCTTGACTTCCTCATAGGAGTATGTTTGCCATGCCAGCCTCTGCAACTCCGCTGTTGAGTACTGACACGTCTCATTGTGCGACCGTACAATGTTCTGGGCAAGGTGTTCTGCAAGGCCCGACAGCACAGAAACATGTTTAAATATGTGCACAATGACCGCCAGATGAATAAAATAACCCAACCAATGTTAATAGTCCCAAGTAGACACAAAGGCAAAATTACCACCAGAGACAATGTATTTCATGGTGAAGTTAATGGAAAGGTTTGGTGAAAAAGGTGTTGGTATCATCGTGATGCAGCTATAATTGCGCCTGTTAAATTAACATTTTATCAGACAGCCGACCCTCATTGAACAATTTAAATATATAATCTCGTGCAAATGGCAGACTTGGAGTAAAGAATTTAACCAGTACTTACGAAAACAACAATATAACAGGGCCGCAATGACAGTTCCAACTTTTGAGACCAAAAGAACACATTAAGTTAATTTATCCGATTATCTTTAACATGTGTTATCAAATACAATTGTAACATACCAATTTCACTGGTTGGTGTTTTCCCACTGCCGTAGTGGCCATTGCAAAAAGCACTGGCCAAGAATTCCAGGTCGCACGTAAGGTCACCATTAAGGTCATATGTCATGCCAACAGCACCGTTGTTGGCAGTGGCAGACACCACGCACGGTGCTGTGGCCACGCCTGAGCCAGGCTCCTGCTTGATCACCAAACTCCGGGGCCGGTTACCATCTATGTCCAAACCGGACTGGTCCGGAGATGGCTGGCCTGACGCCGAACCGGACCGCGACACGGAGCCCACAGAGGAGGCGGACGAGTTGGAGCTGGGCGGAGTGCTTGTGTCACCGGAGGCTGATGGGAAATAGCAGCTCATCATCATGTCACCCGCGCTCCCCGCCTGAGAGGCCATCTCTGCCAGCTCTGGCCCAAACACGTCGTTGAGGTCGCTCAGCTCGTGGTCCGGGTCGTGAGAGATGCCACTTCCGCTGCCCAAGCCATTGCCTAACAAGCAAACCAACAAGATCACACTTAAGGCTTGCCGTGTTGACGTTGACTTTGTTATGACGCATGTTTGCCAAATTGTGGATTTGTTATCACTAGATAGTATGCCTCCCATTGCCTTATCTTATAAAGTGTGGTTTAATAAATAATACTGTGGTTACCAAAACTACATCGATCGTAGTCTGAATGCTACATGTTACAAGTAGATGAAATGAATGAACTTGTAATTCACGAGCAACTGTACCGTCACAAAAGGTTCTGGCAGAAGAAAAGCAATAAAAATTGATTCATACCAACCCAAATACAACACCACACTGTGACCTTCTAAGCAGCATATAGGGGATACACATTGCTAACAGATGGAAGGTAGTTTCCAGGGTAGACAAAAGTCTTACGTCCCGATGCCTAGAATTTTATTTAACATTATTAATTTAACGGCTGACATCACAACATTGATAATTTTTTTAAAAATTCAAGTAAACCATTCACGTTAATGCAGAGTGGCGCATTGTGCTATTTTTAAAAGGGGTACTCGATGACATCTTTGCAACCTACGTGCAAACGCACCATTCGAGTATGGTGTGAGGGGCTCGGCTTCCCCGTGTTGTTGGTGCTGCTGGTGTTGCTGCAGCCGCTGGTGCTTCTGCACCTCCGCGTACAGGCTGTCCCGTTGCTTCTTTGACATCCGGCCAAACTTTACCGCTGCACATGCGTGAACAATACATTTTGTTTTTCACAACGCAAACCTTGACGCGTTATTAAAAGCAGAACTATTAAGTGGTTTAATTAATGTGCGATACGACGACTTTCGAAAAAGCAAAAATGATTTCAGTAACAGGAGGAAGGATGACTCGGCGAGGTGGCGATGAATGTGTCTTTACCATCTCGCGACATGCCGAGGGCCAAGCATTTCTGCAGGCGACAGTGTTGGCAGCGGTTCCGGTTCGTGCGGTCGATCAAGCAATTGCGCTGCCGCGGGCAGGAATAAGATGCATTGTTTTGCTGACTCCGCCGGAAAAATCCCTTTTGAGCACGGTGCAATGGGAGGAAAGAGTGGTGAGAGAATACGGTATAAGAAAGGTGAATTCGTAACTACACAAGGTATATTTATATGGTAAAGAAATAAATTGCCAAGGCAGTTAAACCCATTGTTTTACAAAAAAAATGCTGTATCGGGGAATACCCATACTCATGCGATAATCAGCAAGAGACAAGATACATGTATTCCCAACAACCCACATTGACCAGCGAGGTGGTCAAGGCAGTCAGAAATGTGTTATTTTTTTACTTTAATTGGTATCACTTTCAGGCGGCATGCGATGTGCCTCTGTATTAGAAGAAATACATTTTAGTGTTAGAGAATGTCAATATTATTTTAAACATTAATTATCAAAAATAACTGTGATGAAAATTCAAACTGAAAAGCCCATGGTAACAGTACCAGGCAGTTGTCAAATTTCAGAACAGTAATGCAATTTGCAGCTCCATATGTACAATACTTTTATCTTCATATGCCGACTCGGAATATATCCAATTTACTACAAAAATGTGTGAACTGTTCAAAATAGGCAGCATTTTCTAACTTTTGATCTGAATTCTATTATCACATATAAAAGTAGGAGTAATACATCAAAGTGACGCGATGTCCCTTTTGTGGGTTCTAATTAGCATCCTTTTCCACTGAACCGTGCAGGATGAATGCATGCAACACCCAGCCTCCAATCCGTTCATTGGTGTTTGAAAACACACGAGTCGTCTCTCCCAGGAAGCCATCCTGCTGGTCTAATTAATAACTTAACAGTCAGCTTTTCTCTTCATGCAGGGAATGAAGCATTAATCCTGTGATTACATTTCTCTTTCATTTAGAAAAGATACTTTTTGGAAACAAAACAGGTTAAAATAAAAAAAAGGATTATATAAAAAACAATAAATGTGCAAACAAAAAAGATTAATGGGGTAAAAGTCTCATTCTGCTACGTGAAGCTGTCAATGTGTATTATTTCTCAGCGAGTAAGCAAGCATGCAGGTATAAATAAATATACCTTTTAGGATTTTTTTTCATCTCTTTTTATAGCAAAGTACCACGTATGAGAAAAACACTGAGGAGTGGCTAACTGTATTCATCCACACGTTTGTAACAGAGTGGAATTGAACCTCACAACATTCATGTGAATGGCCACTGCCCAAAACCTTAGCCAGTCATGTATGTTTATGTTACACAGCAGTGTTCAATGTGAACAAGGTGATTTTGTGTTGTACTCTCACACCACTGGCAAAGCAACCCCTTGATATTCTTAGCTCTTTCGGTAAAGTCACGTTGAAGGGAAACAATAAAATAATAATAAAATATATATAAAACAATAAAAAAATTCTCACGACGTTTCGACCATAACACAAACGGTCGTCATCAGGTGTGTCGGTTTGCATAAATGATGACGACCGTTTGTGTTATGGTCGAAACGTCGTGAGAATTTTTTATTGTTTTATATATATTTTATCATTATTTTATTGTTTCCCTTCAACGTGACTTTACCGAATGAGCTAAGAATATGAATTACTGCAGTCACGAAAGCTTTAAATCAAAATTCAACCCCTTGATGTTATTTATAACTTATAGGTGTACTCACTTGAGTGCCATATTTATAAAACATACCAGTAAGGTGACAGAAAACAGCACTTAATGCAACACAATTTGAAGATGTATATCCCAAACACAATTGGTCTGGGCAGACTATTGGGTGCATCGACATGTGTTAATGCAGATTCATTCACTCTGCTGGAACAGTGCACATCTCCTTCAAGGTGAGCTCTACTGATGAAGTTGTACATGAGAAGCAATAATTTTGATATTGGATAACCACAACTGTTGTTTTATTTTAACCTTAAATACTGATAACTAAGGCCAGTGGTACTCCTAACATCAATGCAATAAGTGGTTCAAACATTATTATAATGGGAAATGTTCTTCAAGACAAATCTCTCTATTTTCACCTTGTAAAAAAAATGTGCACAAGTGAATATGTTCCAGGTAGGTCAAACACAATTTTAGTCATGAATTTTTCGTTAATAACTTTTTTTTACAACACATTTTATATATATTTTTAAAAATCGCAAAAGGAAAAAATATAATTTATTGGGTGTACTATAAACAAACATCAAATAATATGCAAACCTTCACTTATATATTCTGAGCAATTTGCAAGAATGAGGGGTCTCATACTACTGTTTACCCTACTATGCGTTTAAAATGGGTTTTGCTTTAGGGAAAACAAGAGTGGACAGGAGAAGGCGGAGGTCATACCTTGCAGCCCTCACACGTGATGACTCCATAATGAATCCCTGATGACTTGTCGCCACAGATCTTGCACGGGATCACCTCAATTTGTGCTGAAACACAGAGGCCCGCGTATTCACATGACGTACAAGTACAGCCTTTTTGTCAATCCATTGTTGGATGAGGGCCCGCACACGCCATGCCACGCATGGGGGTTATCTGATTGAACTGCGTAACTCTCGTCAGTGCTGGTTGGTGAAGATAGTGGGAGCAGACATGGGGGCATAAAAGTACAGTACAATAATAGATTTCACTACACTGCCCTCTGCTACACCACAGAGCCCCACAACCAATAAAAGTGGTTGGGCATAGCGGTTACCGATCCACACACTATGCAGGCTCGACATTGCTTACCTTCTGAAATTAAAATGTAATTGCGTGCATTCTAGATAATTTGCTCAAAGTCAAAGCTCATGATCCCAACTAATTCACTCTTGAAAAAAATTATGTAGGTATTCTCCTATTCTTCATGTCAGGCTGTATAATCAGTCACGTGAAAACTGACTTGAGAGCATAACACTAAAATACATCTTTCATATTTTACGTAGTGGAATATTCATTCATCAAGCGCCTCTTCTGCGATATAATTTACATGCACCACTAGATGGCGATATTACAGCAAAACCGTTTATCACCAATGCTGACTTAACATTTTCAATTACACTCGACGTCGAAAACGAATCCGCTAACTAGAAGCATCACAACATGGCAAAATTCTGTACAAAAAAAAGAATCAGGACTTACACAGGCTTGCAACAAAAAAAACTCAAAATGTAAAGTAAACGTCTCTGATCGATGTGACATTGCGAAAAGGCACAGTGGGTGCCATATCGCGTAATTAAATAAGTACCAATTCTGCCGTAATTCTGGTCAGGACGTCCCAAACACCAGCGGGTAGTATGTCCTATACCTGACTGCAAGCTTACATGGCCTAAACCTGCATGTGCACAGCACAAAATTTAACTTTTTTTCAGCTTGCCATAATTTTAGTTTAATTTCTGCTCCCACATAGGTGGTCCTTCATGTGGAATTACATGTAAAAATAATAATTAAAATATATAGAGGGCCACCGCCCAGGTGTATTTGACCTACATAGCTCTAAGTATATGCCTGCTGCTAAACGATGTCATTTAATGAACTGGACAAGCCAGTTGGGTAAGTGAGCCTTCTCTTAAAACAACTGGGACATCCTAGCTCTTGCCTTGCGTTTCCCTAAAATTAACAATCTGGACGCTAAATTCCGTGAAATGTTACCAATGTAATTGTTTGGCTTTTATATCTACTTAAGCTGGGTACGTTGCTTTATTTATATAGTAATGTCAAGTTTAACCATTTACCTTTAGCACATTAATAACACACACAGATGGACATGCACACCGGTGTAAAAATGTGTGCGCACTTTGTTACGTAACTATTCTGCTAATACTTCAATACAATATTGGTAAAATTATAATACAGAAATGTTGCAAGAAGGTATGTTTTGCTCCCTTTTAAATGTGTTTTAACTGCTGATATTTAAAAGCCATTGTCAACATCAAGTTTAACGAAGCGCCGTGACATTTATTAACAACGTGATATATAATGTTATATTCAGATTCAAATGCACTCACATAATTTTGGTACGCCAGGGTACAGTTAATCTTAATCCGAAGCCACTTATCTCTGAAGGGTGTGGTTGACTTTGTGCCAAAGGCCGCAGGAATATGCAGGAGTATTGTCTCTTCCTTTGTTCTAGTTAACAGGATGTTTTTTTTTAATCCTATAGATTTCGTTTAAACATTAAGACCTTAAGAAATGTGCATCAGAACAACCAATAATTGGAATTTTTTAATTAAGGCCACCTTAAATTTAGATTTAAAGCTTTCGTGACTGCAGGGATTCATATTCTTGGTTCTTTCGGTAAAGTCACGTAGAAGGGAAACAATAAAATAATATTGTTTTATATTTTTATTTTATTGTTTCCCTTCTACGTGACTTTACCGAAAGAACCAAGAATAAGGCCACCTTATTTCGTTAATTGATTGCGTTCACCATTAATGATACAACCTAATTACTTACACCCACACAAATGTTTTGGACTTTCAGAACTTTTAACGAGATACATTCTTATGTTATATACTCTATGTCCGATTAACACAGTTGGCTACATACGATGGTGCGAAAGACGTTCATCACTCATGCACACAATTACAGGCTTGCTCACGCCAGGTCTGACTTTATACATTATCTCAACATTTATTTATTTCCCCATGTGACTTATTTTTCAGCTGTACTTTCACAATGCAACAGGGTGCCTTTGAAGCGATGTGCTCTGTTTTTATTCCAAGTGTACATTATCAGTGTAATTACAGACAGAAAGAGGAAGACGTAGATTCGAGAACATACACAAGTTACAGGCATAATGGGCGATATGAAAAGACGGTGGGCGATATGAAAAGACGGTGGGCGATATGAAAAGACGGTAGACTTTTCATCACTTCGTTCACTACAAGCGATGACGGTTGGTGGTAGAGAATAATGGGAGGTCCTAACCAAAATGAACACTATCAAGAAGATGTCCACTGTGGAGCAGAATAAAGCAGCGTATGTTGCTGGTGCTACATGGATTGTTCCATCGTAAGAATGAAGTTGGATGGCCACATCTTCGAAGGCATTCATCCAACAGTGGATTTATCATGTTTGCTGATAATGTTGATGAAACCTTAGCAATGAATAACAGACCATATTAGTTAAATAATGTATATTATGCTCAATACGTTTCACCTTCATTTACCGTATTAAGTATACACGTCATATCTTACAGCCTTTCGTCAATCCACTGCTGGTTGAAGGCATCCCCATGCTGTGGGGATTGTTTCACGATACTTTAGGCATGCTTCATCACTGCAGGCTGATGAGAGAGGCCCAGAACCGATTCAGATATCACTCCCCACTGATGTTACGTGTTAACCGATGCGCTGTTGCTCCACACCCAGAAGGCAAAGAGCACGTGAAATACCATATGCGATGCATTGATATTTGTCATGTGACCAAGCAATGTGGTTTGTAAAATACACGATTATGTGAAATATGTAACTTGTAGTAATCATATTGACTGCTGTAGACATAAGATGGGTTTATGACAACTTAAAATCATGTATCTTTGTCAATGTTTTAAATATGAAAACAGATTTAAATATAACATCATACACGTATCATGTATTTTCGTCCTACCTTCAGGCTTAGTCAAATGGCACTCATTTGATTTCAGTTTCCTTTATTTGGTATAGCCCTGTGAGCCATTCGGCCCTTGAATCGGGTGCAACCGCAACAAACAAAAAACATGAACAATAAAACATCTTAAAGTGACTATGTGACTGTGCAAACAGAAAATCCAGGAAAAACAGCAAAATATTCCTGAAAAAGCACCATACACCAACGCTGTGTGCAAAAATCCCAGTGGGATGCAAGTCAAACAACAACCACAAGACAACTTAGATTAAGGCCATCAGTCTAACTCCGTACTACAACAAACAAACATGGCCAAACCAAAAAACGTTTTCGACATCATCAAAATAAAGCCATAAAAGCAATGTAACAGTGATCATAGGAACTGTGACCGAATTTTCATAATAAACGACAAACAACATGTAACACCAAACCCTAGAGCCATTGCTGGCTGCATGAGTCACTCAACAACAGGAGCATTAGTCGGAGTATCACATTTTTCAATGCACCTTTAAGATCAGCACACCAAATCAAAATACAGATAACACTTTGCAGCGCTTATCCGGAGCGAAACATTTTTTTTTAGGCCACTGAAAAGCAGTGGCAGCTAGGGGTGTACAACTCCTCTATAGTAGTTTTGAGTGAATATCTCATAGGTAGTGATTCAAGTTGCAGTTTATTGGCAATAGCTTTGCAGACCCTGGGGGCATCAATAGCAAAGGCCCTTCCTCCAGTTTTTGTACGGCAATAGGGAATGTGAAGCTGGTAAATGAGTGAAGACCTGAGGTCAAATTTGTTCTTTGAAACAGAGAGGAGATCCAGCAGGTAGTCTGCGGATTTTTTTGTAAGTACATCGTGAATAAATAAGATCTGGTGCACAAGCCGTCGAACATTAAGATATGTTAAGTTTGACCCAAATGTAGAGATCACAGTGGTAAGTCCTATATGGGCAGTTCAATGCAAATCTTAAGGCCGAGTGATAGATGGAATCAAGTGATAGCACTCGACTCTTTGGAATTTGCCCCAGGCATCCTTTAAAACCAAAGCACCAGGATGATAGAACATGACAAGACAGTGATATAACTTAAAGAGGCAAAACCCTGGCATGGACACTACACAAACAAGCAATATGACATCACCCTTGGCCTACGCGCCACTTGGCAAGCATTAAACTTGTGAACATGCCATCATTCGGAATAGGTGGAGGTGCATCTTTCAACAATCAATTGCAAAGAATCTAAGGAGCAAAATTTGTGCATTTTTGCCATCGTTAAACAAATCCACTCAATCCCACGATTAGTTTTTTTGAATTCATAATAGACATGTAACAATGCCAATATAAATGTTGTTACTTTGTACTGTTCGATAAAAATAGAACCAGAATTAAATGTACCAACCAAGCAAGACTCAAGCGAGAGAGGGGACAGAAGCAGAGTTGTGGTCAAGAGAGGATTATATAAATATCTAATTTCAGATGCACGACAGACACTAACCAAGAGGAATATAAATTGGACTGTATCCAAAGGCCAATTAAGGACATGGGGGTAGAATACATGTTTCAATATGACATGACTAAACAACACCCTACTAATTCCTTGCATAGCATTCCTCTCAAAGCAGTCATCCCAATCCATGTTAAACCTAAGCAGAACTAGTGACAATGTTTTAATGCGTTACTGCAATCAAATAACCTCAGGGCAGCAGAACAGACTATATAGAGTATTTAAGAAATAATATAAAATGCATGGCTACATTATTTAACTTGCATAAAGGTTGATGTTCATGAATTGTTGTGTACTTGAAATACTCCTTGTTACAAATGTACCTATACAAATCTTAAATTAAT